TCTAGCTTTAGTCGAGACAATACACGGAACCCATAGTTGTTTTGTCTAGCTTTAGTAGAGACAACACACGGAACCCATAGTTGTCTTGTCTAGCTTTAGTGGAGACAACACACAGAACCCATAGTTGTCTTGTATAGCTTTAGTGGAGACAACACACGGAATCCATAGCTGTCTTGTCTAGCTTTAGTGGAGACAACACACAGAATCCATAGTTGTCTTGTCTAGCTTTAGCGGACACAACACACGGAACCCATAATTGCCTTGTCAAGCTTTAGTGGAGACAACACACGGAACCCATAGTTGTCTTGTCTAGCTTTAGTGGAGACAACACACGGAACCCATAGTTGTCTTGTCTAGCTTTAGTGGAGACAACACATGGAACCCATAGGTGTCTTGTCTAGCTTTAGTGGAGACAACACACGGAACCCATAGTTGTCTTGTCTAGCTTTAGTGGAGACAAAATTCTGAACGCCTAGTGGTCTTGTCTAGTTTTTAGTAAAGCCAACATCATAACGAAAAATTCCCGTCTAGTTTTTAATAAGAGACAACCTCCAGAAGAAGAAGAAGAAGAAAAAGAAGAAGAAGAAAAAGAAGAAGAAAACGGATGAGAAGAAAATGAAGCAGAAGAAGATTCCACAATGTCACACATATTGCCTAAACAATGAGAACAGCTAGTACCGTGTGTTGCACGCATGCAAGTGAAACCTATTGGAGTCAAAGCTAGAAATAACCAGTCTGCAGAGGAAACAGCTGGACCGGACAATTATGACAAAATCCGTAGATGACCATTTGATGCGATCCTCCATTTTACAATTGTCTGTAAACATCGTCGAGAAACGGTGAAGTTGTGCAAGCAGAAAAGTGTGACTTCCTTAGCGAAAATAATTTGCAGAAACAAATAATCTGTCAGTTATCTAACACGCGCATACGCAGTGGTGTTTTTAGTTCACCTTTCTCTTGTCCTGTATACACATACACACACTCATAAACACAAGCAGTTGTGTTTTTATTTTACCTGTCCTTTGTCCGATAAACACACAACAAGCAGTGTTAACCTATCTTTTGTGCGACTTTCAAACAAGCAGTGGTGTTTCTTGCTTATCCCTCACACTTCCGGGATACAGACATACACGCACGCAAACTCACACAATAGTGTTTCTAGTTTACCCACCCCTTTTCACCTCTTTCTCTCTCTTTCTCTCTCTGTCCCCCCCCCCTCTCTCTCTCTCTCTCTCTCTCTGCTCTCACAGAGAGACTCATTTGAGTGAATTCACCTTCTGCTCATCATCATCAGGTGCCTTGCCGACTGGCATGGGCGATCATGCCTCTCCATAATCCACGATCTCCTGCAGCATGTATCAGTTCGGGTGCCGACACACCTCCATGCCATGCAACAAGACTGTCAAGCATCTTCTCTCGTTTTCTTCCTCTATCTCTCCTTCCACATATCTTTCCAGTGGTCACGACATGTTCTATTTTCCTTCTTCTCATACCATGGCCGAAAAGGATGACTGTCTCCTTCTGATGTCTGTGATAAGTTGTCTTCGGGCTCCCGCCTCTTTCAAAACCTCTTGGTTGCTCTTGTTGGCTGTCCAAGGTATTCTAAGCATTCTTCTGTAAAACCACATCTCTGAGGCCTCTAGAAATTGTTTGACCTGGCTACCGATTGTCCAGGATTGTCCACCTTCTGGTAATATTTTTAAACACACAGACGGATCGCTTCTGAAAAGCTTAAAAAAAAGTTTACGTGGGCGTTTTTTTGTTTTGTTTTTGCAAAGCTGAACTGATGCTGTTGAGTTGAGTTGAGGTGCGTTGATTCAAGAACAGACATGACAGCACTCGGGGCATTCCAATAAGCGCTCCGTCCCCATCTTCAGCAGCCAGTGTAGAGTTCTGATACTAATGGTGCCAGTAGCGTTCTGATTAAACGTCGGTCTTGCCTTTCATCTGAGCCTCGAGTATCTGCCGGAACCTCTCGTCACTTCCCGCTGCATCAATCTCAGTCTGTGGTGATACATCTGCTCCTCCGAACTGTACACGCTCTCCCACAAGGCACTAACCACGTCTGCCTTATCATGAATCAGTATTCCACCAAGTTGTGCAGAGTCATCTAGTCTGTACGCCTGTTCCTTTCCTAACACACCGGCAAATCCCAGAGAAAAAATCCAGGCAATACTTCTCACCCGTGTCCTCCGCAGTGAAGCTTGCCACTCTGCACGAAGCATGCCTGCCCTGACCTTCCTGGCCATGCTTTCTGAGTCAGTTACAATCACGATGTGTGTGTGTGTGTGTGTGTGTTATGTTCTCTAGCCAGCAGAAAGCTGCAGTGACCGCCTCCACCTCCATTCTTAAGCGAGATGTTTTGGTATGAACTAAACGGATGCATTGCTCGATATAACTGATTTTCATATATTTATTTTTTTCACATGAAATTAATGTGTGCGGGGTAATGAACAGACTGATAGATTGGCTACTGCCACGTCTTTTGACGGCCAGATACTGTGAAATGAAACTTTAATACACAAAACCAACTCTCAAAAGAGTAGATAAAGGACTTTACGGCTACGTGCCCAAACGGAAGCCCTGCAACAATATTTACAGTCATGCGCATTTTAACAATAGGCAGGTGACACATTGTTTATTTCATCAAGTGGTGTGTAAGTTAAAAGCCAGAATCAGGTATGCAAGGACAGCATCAAATTGAACAAAACTATATTAGTTGCCTTTAGGACATTGCAGAAGCAACCCCGGAACAGATTATCCGATTTGGCTCTTCTTCTTCTACTTTTCTCCACTCCAGGACAGAAGGAGATCTCTGGAAAGGGCCGTTTTATTTGCTTTTTTTTAAAAGTACTTTTCAGTGTCTCATATTTCTGCTGTCCATCGTCTTTGTGGTCGACCTCTTGATTTGTTACCTTTGTATCTGTATAACATTGCTCTCTGTGGGGCCGTGTCTGGTGCTAATCTTGTTACATGGCCAAACCATTTGATTTGTTGTCCATCTATAAAGTTCAGTATTGGTTCTGTGTCGACTCTCCTCCTGATATCATCGTTCCTAAGTCGATCTTTCCTCGTTACACCTAGCATATTACGAAACATTTCATTTCTATCGTCGTGACTATTTTCCATCTGTCTTTTGCAGACAGTGTATATGTTTGATATTGATAGTGTAGCATTTGTATGAATATTATGTTAGGCAGTGTTCTTTTATTGTTTGGTTGTACTCGGCAATTCTACGTTTAAAAGTTTGCCACTGCCCAGTGTTCTTTTATTGTTTGGTTGTACTCGGCAATTCTACGTTTAAAAGTTTGCCACTGCCCAGTGTTCTTTTATTGTTTGGTTGTACTCGGCAATTCTACGTTTAAAAGTTTGCCACTGCCCAGTGTTCTTTTATTGTTTGGTTGTACTCGGCAATTCTACGTTTAAAAGTTTGCCACTGCCCAGTGTACGCTCGGCTCTCGATACCATTGTCGAAATCAACGCACAGCGGTTTGCTGCCAAATCAGCCGCACTTGGAATCGAACCTAGTAACTTGGAATTACGAAGAGTGTTCACAACACCTAATCGTCAGTAAATTAAAGGACCTTTTCCACCGCCTTTAGTTGATTGGGCATATAGGGCTAGACCTATATTTTAAAGAACAATAAGCACTCAGTTGGGGCGGGGAGTGGTAGGCTCCACACCGGTCGCCTTTACATCCCAGGACTTTACCTAGTGGCCATTTAAGGCTGGGTCGACCTGGGAGCCAGGATCATTTTTGACAAAAGACCGGATCTCTCAGAACCTGGACCCACAACCTTCCGATCTGCAGGTGAGCATCTAGCCACTACTTCACGGCGGCTCCAAAAGCTGATGTGAATAGTGTACATAAATGACAGTTCTCTTCTTCTTCTTCTTCTTCTTCTTCTTCTTCTTCTTCTTCTTCTTCTTCTTCTTCTTCTTCTTCTTCTTCTTCTTCTTCTTCTTCACTTCCTCTTTTACCGCTGTAGGTGTCGAGTGAGATATAAGGTTCTGTTTGTAACTCTTTTGGCCGCCTCGACCATAGGCACATCGTGCTGTTGTACAGTTTCTCTGATGTTATCCTTCCATCTTGTTCTTGGTCTACCTCGTGCTCTACGTCCTAATCTTTCCATGTATGCTTTGTATGGTATGGTGTCACAGCGCATTCTCTCTAAGTGGGCAAACCATTTCACTTGCTGTCTCCTAAATGACAGTAATGGTACAATTTTGCTTCATAAATGTCTTGAAAAGAAAGGGTCTGGAGTTTATCGGTACACTTGGAGAGTTTTTCTTCTTAATTTAAATCTAACAGACTGCAGTTTTTGCAGGGGAAATCCCCCCCCCCCCCCACACACACACACACACGAACAACTGTCGTTTACCTTCTACCTCCAATGGAGCATATCCTCTCAGCCAACTCTCCAAGTCTTTCTATCCTTCGCTATTGCACGCAGCTCACACGATGTCCTTACCATCTTTTTAAACTTTACTCTCTAGTCGGTTTTTTTGTTGGGGGGGGGGGGGGCTGCCTTTATTTCTATGCCCCTGCTAGTTCCAGTACAAAGACATTTAAGTTATATAGTTGTCAGGAATTATAAACTACTGTCCTATCTAACACCAGCGTCTTTTCCTCACCTCTTAGACCACTGGAACTTGCTTAGTTCTCCTCCAAAGCTTCACAGTAGTGAATCTATCATACTATTTAATTTCCTCTATTCTGCAAATGCACCAATTAGGTAATGTTTGTAGTTTATTAGTAATAAAGTTAGTATTAGTAATCAGTAAAATAAAACGAAATAATGGAAAATGGTCCCGCTTGGAAACCATACATGCGGGCCATCCGACAAGCGTGTGTCGTTGCACATCCACATACAATATCTAAAATACAAAGACTTAAGAGTTAAGGCAAAACTAATAACTGTTATTGTTATAATAAGCTAAAAGTTGAACAAAGACAACGTAAAAGTGGAATCTGCAAGCAAGGCCATGTACTTCGTCGT